GGGTTGGGGGGGGGGGGGGGGGTGTTCAGAACCTCAAGTTCGATTAGGGTTGACCATAAGGTCCTCAACCCATTCTAACTATGCCCAAATTGCACACTAAGTTTTAAGAATATTAAAAGGGAGATAATAGGGTGCAATTCGAGTATCAAATTTGAAGAAATTACCATGGTGTTTGGGACCATTGCCCTTATTTGAAAGGACGACAAAAAATGCATTGGCATATGTTGTTTAGATCAAATGTTGCAAAGATCTGAAGACTAGGTTGGATCATGGAGTTCAATATAGGCAAGTGTGCAGAGAGGCTAATCAAGTGGTGGTTTGGATTGCAAAGGCTGCGAGTTCTTTCCCAATGGATCTTTATTTCTTAATCTTTGTAAGCTTYTTTTTGGATTTGGACCTCATTTGTTTGAGTGATTGTTGGAGACATGCTACCCGTGCCTTGTGTAGCACTTTCCAGTTCCATAAAAAAAGATCATTTTCTCAAAACATAGTAGACAAAAAGCATTTTGTCATTTAAAAAAAAACTATCCATCTTAGAAAATGTCATTTTTAGTGTTTTCCTTTTCACACATCATTTCTRGTATGATGGGATGTGGWTCCATTTTATGAGAAAACACCAATGGAACCAAATAGCACCATAAAAAAGGGTAAATTACAAAGACCCCCTGTACTATGGGGTCTGTGACAAAGACCCCCTTGTCCTTTATTTTACAACAAAACCCCCCCTGTACTATGATCGTGAGACAAAGACCCCCTTCTTCAAATTTACCATATTTTTTAATCCCCATATTACCCTTATAATAAGGATATTTGGGAGAAAAACACTGTTCATCTTCTCCAACCTCAGGATACACGATCAACAGTGGTACATCAGATTCCTTAGCATTTCTCTCTGTCCTTCTCTCTCCTGATCTCTCTTCTTTCCCTTCCCTTTTCTCTTCTCCTTTATTAAGGCCCAGGCTGCTTTCAATAATAGCAGCCCAATTCCAGGAGCGTGAGCAAGACTTCTTCACAAAAGTTCTATCCCTCTTGCATTCATCCTTAGAACCACAAAATCCCCAGCTGTCACAGTGCCTTTAAACCACACAAGAAAATCAAATCCATCATCTGACAACGGGGTCAAATCTCTAACACGACTGGCAGTGACCTTATTCTCATCCAAGCCTGGGTGGTAAACAAAAGTAATACCAGGTTTCTTCACATAGGAAGAGAGGACAAATGTATCATGGTCGACAATGTAAACATTATTGGCTCGAGACTGTGCAGGATAGAAGGATAGAGAGTCGTTGATAATTTTGGATTTTATGGATTCCCCTGCTCCTACATCAATGTAGATTAAGTTGTTCATAGAAGAGATATCCATGAAACTCGATAAATAGGAAATATTTCTATAAGCTCCTACTGCATTTTCATCGGTGATAGGCTCTAAGCATTTCATGAAAGGCTTGTTGTTCGTAACAGAAAGGCATTCATCAAGGAGTTGGTAGTTTTTCTAGGAGTTGGCACCCTCAAATCTTTTCTTGAATACGAGTAGTGTAAAGGAATTGATTCTGCACACTTGGATGACATTGGGACTTTTCAGGAAGGAGGAAATGGGGGTAGCCGATTTTATAAGACCACCAGTATTAGAACTAGTGATATCCATGAGCACAGATCCAATGCCACCTGGTCTTAAAACACGTTCAATCTCGAGCACGAGAAGAGCAGGTACAGATACCCTATCAAGATCTCTGGAAAAACCAAAATCGAAAGAATTGTCCTTGAATCCAGCCCGTAATTAGTAAAACTTTTCCTCTTCAGAGAGAAAAACAAGTCTCTTTCGACACCAAGAGCAACCGGGAACCCTAATTTCCGTAGAGCAGAAACAGCCAAATCTGATCCTTCCCCAACACGGAGAGCTTTCACACCATATTTCAACAATTTCTTCCCAATCATCTCTCTAAACGGATGAAGTGTGAAATTTACTACTCTCTAAACAGATCAGTTTGGGTGAGTTGATTAAGATCTGGTGACTTGTTTGTTGTCGCAAGTAATGCAGGTCCATATGGAAGGGTCGTTGCCTGACCAGTCTGAAGGGCGCCCAGAAAGCTAGGCGGATCAAAGCATTATCGGGCGACAGCTATAGAGACGAGATTGAAGAAGAGAAGAGAAGAAAAGGAAGATGAGAAATGGGTATATTCTGTCCTTTCATTTAAAAAGAATAAGAGTGGAGAATGAGGGAGGGGGAAAAGAAGAAAGGGAAAACAATAGGTTTTAAAAGAAATAAGCGCTTAAAATGAAAATAAAAAAAGTTTAGTGGGGTATTTTGSTAATTTCAATTAAAAAGAATAAGAGAAGGCAACGAAAAGGGGAAAAAAAGAAGAAAGGAAAAACAGTAAGTTAAATAGGTTTTAAGAGAAATAAAGATAAAATAAAAAATAAAAAAAGTTTAGTGGGGTATTTTGATAATTTAATATGATGTTTTCTTAATAGAAAACGCAATGGTTCCCAAAACCCCTACCCCTACATACACTACTTTTGGGCCTAGTTAGTTGGGCCCATTCAAATTTTAAATAAAGACCTTCTTTCAAGTTTCTAACAATCGTAAAAACTTCCCTTATAGTTTTATTTTAGCAAAAATCTCCCTTAACTTTTCAAAAAATTGACAAAAATAAAAAACCTCTCCTCCCTTACTAATCCAAACAGAAAACGTTTACCAATGTATAATATTTTTTTCTAAATACCCATTTTACCCTAGTGTAAAATAGCTCGTGTTCAAGGTATCCAAAACACAAAATTTTTCCACGTCAAGCTGTGCGTGAATTTCTCCACTTTAGTATCCATCTCCATTTAGATTTCACGCAGCTTTCTTCTCTAGTTCTTGAAAATCTCTTGTTTTTACGAAAACTTGGAAAGCATTTCCCTATCCTTATCACTTCGTTACGAAAACCTCCCCGTAGTAAATGAAATTTATCTGAAGTTTTTACTTAGGAGATGGGCTCTAATCAATTCAAAAGTTTACCATTCATCTTCTTTGTTGAAAGAGCGGCGGCAAATAGACTTTCCAACACCGAGTAACAGTAGCGATCCCCTCCAACTCTCTCTTATCTTCTCTCTCCCTTTCCTTCTCTGTCCCTCTACTTTTTTTTTCTTCTCTTTCTTCTTCTTCGTCCCACTTCCTGCCACTATCACCATCCCTGTTTTGTCACTCCCCACCACTGTCACCGCCGCTGTTTCGTCCCACTCCCCATCATTCCCTTTTTTATTTTGTATAATTTTACTAATTAACAGGACACAGGAATGGAATCAAGTTAATGTTATTTTCCCAAGAAACAAAATATTATTCTCTGCGCTTGTAGCCAATAAACCCCTTCAAATATAATTTTGCACATTTTAAAGATATTTTCTCCAACGCCTCTCTTCTTGGACTTGCATTATGATGAACTCCATAATCGGATTGGTGGAGGAAAAATAAAGATAATTGTAATCAAGTATAAAAGCTGCTGCAACTCCATTAATGGATTCTTCAAAGATACTTTATTGTAATCAAGTACAAAAGCCCCTTCAATGCCATGGTCCCACAAGACCCCTCTTCCTCGTCACAGGTTTTTTTGAAGATTCATTTATTTTTCCAAGTCATTCAACTGCTCCAATAGGTTCTAGCTTCAGATTCTACAATGACGCCATTTCAGACTTTTGCAGCTTTAAATCCCCTCTCCATGCCAATGCCAGGCATCTCTTTTCCTCTTCTCTCTCCAACTTTAATGGCTGAAATCGCAAAACTCTAAAAAACCAAAACCAAGAAGATTAACTCCTATTCCTGTTTTGCTTTAGGTTCAAAGGTCGAGTCTTCGACCCCAACTGACACGAAACCAATAGAAACTAACAGTGGTGATTGTGGTCAGATAAGAAAGTGCTGGTTCTTCTGGTCAAGTCCGTCATTAGCTTCAACTTTCTTCGGACATTATTATTGCCTGATCTCTCCATTATCTAATCTAACAATCTTACCCTGATTCTGAAAAAGGCATGCAACCAGGATGAGAGCAATGTCGATGCTCCTTAATGGCAGCCTTGCATTGGCGGTGAATTAGTTGCTTAATTCCCCCGAGGCCAGCATAGAAAAGCTCATTTTCCTTTCGTTCGCCCGCTTGTCCAAACTATCAACAGGCAACAACTGAAGGAGGTGCATCAAGCATCCCCATCGACATCCTCAAAACCCCAAGGCGTATGTATTCTATAGACGTCTTCAAGTCCAATATAAGGTTACAATGGAGGATGACTTTATGATGGTGATACGAAGCACCGACAAGAGAAGGGGGAAGGGGTGGGGATGAGGGAGGGTGCAAATACATGTATGGTTGGAGCCTAGAGATGAGGGAGGGCACTTCACTGAAGACCACATTATGTTTTTCGTGAGGAGCATCGACGGGAAAGATTTTGGTGGCGTTGGATTTCTTCATTCAGAACACATGAAATGGTAAAATGGGTATTAAAAGAATAATGCATCAATTAGCCGTTTTCCATCTAACGTATTAAGGGAAGGGAGGTTTGTGTTCAGCTTTTAAAAAAATCACAGAAGGTTTTATTAAAATAAAACTTGTGGGGAGGTTTTTATGATTGTCAGAAACTTAAAAGAGAGACACATGATGTTTTATATTATATCTCTTTAACAAAACTCTCAACATTACCCGAGCAAGTTGCATCCTGAAGCCAATGGATCTGCTGCACCTTGTAGCTGGAGGCAAAATGTTTTGTTCAATAATATATGGTGGGACCATCCACTCCAGAGTCCAGAGTTCGGATCTGCTTTCACAAATACGTCTCACACCGACCTCATAACATGTTTTCGCCGTATATTTAGAGCATCTCTGTGCTTGAAATTTTTTCATAAGGAAATGTTGTATATGCATGGTGAAACGTGCTGTGAGATCGGTATGAGGCGCGCTGTTCAACGCAGCAAATCTTGAGTCTGACTTGAGACGAGGGAAGATAAAGGCAGCCTGACAGCATCGTCGGCCTTGCTCTCAATTACGAGTTACCATTACAAAACCAGTGAAAATTCCAAATCCTCCTCGGTCAAAAGACATCGTTTCGCTTGATGGGCCATTACAGGGAGATCATGGGCCGGGGGCCTGATCTACATGAGCCAGACTTTTCAATTGCGGGCCGGGCCAGCATTGACCACCTCTCTCGTCAGACAAGAGGAAAATTCCCAAGTGTGCAATTGCAATTGGACTTTTCGTCTGCAAGTGAAGAAAATGAATGATTGTTGATTGATTGCTGAATATTGAAATAAAATTTCTATTCTACTTCTCGGACGCTTTTGATTCCTCAGGCTTTATTAGATTCTTCTATTTTATTTCCCTCACAATCCTGATCTCTGTTCTGTTTGTGTTCCTCGTCGTCCTCGTCTCTCTTGCCGATGGCATAGCGCTAAAGTCCCGACGACCCTCTCTCTCTCTCTCTCTCTCTTTTGCTTTCCACCTTACTCTCTGCGATCTAATCTAAGTTGGGGTATTTGATTGAAACGTGGAGATTAGAAAGAGATCGTCGAAAGTAGTTGATTAACAAAGAAGTTGGGGTATTTGCTTTCCATCTTACCTGCGGCTCCTTTCTCGACTAAGCGCGTTAAGGTCTGTTTCTTGTAACCTGTTGTTACTCTTGGTTTTCAGTTCAAGATTTTTCAGAGAAGATATACAAAAGGTCTCAGCGAGCTTGCTAGGGTTTCTCCGAAGGTTTTAAGATCAGCAACCGCTAGAGATCGAAGCCCGGAATTTGGAGCCACTTTGTTCCTATAAATATATATCTGATCTGATCAGAGATTATGCGTATTTGTATAGAGAACGAGGGAAAGGAAAGGAAGATGAATGGATTTTCCCGGGAATTTTAGGGTTTTTTAAGCTGGATTGTCTTGGTGGAGCCTTTTATCTTGTTTAGGGTTTTGCTTTCTATGCAATTCGTTGGAATAGGAAGATGTATAGCAATTTCAAGGAGCAGGCTATAGAATACGTGAAGCAGGCGGTTCACGAAGATAATGCGGGGAATTACAGCAAGGCCTTTCCCCTTTATATGAATGCCTTGGAGTACTTCAAGACCCACTTGAAGTACGAGAAGAATCCTAAGATTAAGGAAGCAATTACTCAGAAATTCACTGAGTACTTGAGGCGGGCTGAGGAGATCCGGGCTGTTCTTGATGAGGGAGGAGCTGGCCCTGGTTCGAATGGTGATTCTGCGGTTGCCACAAGGCCGAAGACAAAGTCCAAGGATGGAGATGGGGGAGATGGAGAGGATCCCGAGCAAGCAAAGCTCAGAGCAGGCCTTAATTCAGCTATTATAAGAGAGAAGCCAAATGTCAAGTGGAATGATGTTGCCGGACTTGAAAGCGCTAAGCAGGCATTGCAGGAGGCAGTTATATTGCCTGTGAAGTACCCGCAATTTTTTACAGGTTAGTACTTAATCAAGTTAATTGAGCATCTGGTTTTTGACCCAACTAAAAACTCAAAATATTTTCTATTAGTTTTGCAGCAGGTTGATATGAGGTTCCAGAAATTGTTTGTTTTTCTTTTACAGATAAGAGTAGTCTAGTAGTCTCATCAGCAGTTTAATTGTATAAAGCCCATGGTGATGGCAACACTAAATCAAACATATATATATATATATTGTGTATTATGAACAGTGAAAACCCTACTTTTTTTTTCTCTGACCTACTATTATTAAAGAAAAACCCTACCTTTTTTTTCTGATCTACTATTATTAAATACTCATGTTGTATGCTTTGGAAGGGAAGTTGTCGCCCAGGCTACCATGAAGAATTATAGTGTTGTCTACTTGTCTATAATGTTTAAGTCATGCATATAAATTTTAGATCTTATGGTGGTGAAACAGAATCATAAAATACTTTGTTTGACCTTCCCCTCCTCCCCCCTTCATAAGTAGGGAAGGCATTAGGAGGAAGATCACTACAATATCTAATTTAATTCCATGGTATACAAATTATGAATAATATTTGAGGATTGACAACAGAGAGGCCTTCATTTTGTTAAAAAATGTTTCATATGTACCATTATCAAATCATTCCTCTTTAATATTTTAAAAGTTTCATTCTGAAAGTTTTGTGAAAATCTGCAATGTACCTAAATATTACCATGTAGTCTTGCAATTAAAGTCTTACTTAATCAGATGTTCTCTTTAGGCAAGAGACGACCTTGGAGGGCATTTCTCTTATATGGTCCACCTGGAACTGGAAAGTCTTACCTAGCAAAAGCTGTTGCAACAGAAGCAGACTCAACTTTTTTCAGGTAATTTATTCATTATCACAATAAAGTCTCTTTTGTTTGGTTCCTTAGAGAAAAGAAAACAAATCATCAACTTTTTCTTTATGATAGATGGTTAAATCTTCTATAGGTTAGAAAGAGAGGATTTACAAGTTTAACATACTGAGTTGTTGAGTTAACATGTAATTTACAAAATAAGAAACTCAAAAATGTTTCTCACAGTCTCTAATGCCAAGAAACCATTTCAAAAAGAATTCTACTGGTCGACCGCTTCAGATTCTTTTCAAATAAAAGCCCAATCAAAGGAAAAAGACCTTGCATTCTTACATATGGACCTAACCTAATGATTTTCCCCTTAAATATCCTCTATCTTGTCCACTTATCTCCAAAAAAACTGCATATGTCTGTACTCTGTTGCACATCTTTGACAGTCAGGAACTTTCCTGATTGACATTTGTATTCTGTGGCACAAAATACTCTGGCATCTGTTAATTTATTAACTTGTGTTTTCCCATCCGAATGTTTTAGAATTTATAATTGCTTTTTTTTTCCATTCGTCATATGATTTTGTGTTTGAGTGGAAAGGTGGTGAAACACAAAAAATATTTCAGAAAAAAGGCTTTGTTTGGGTTGAGTTGTTAATGATTGAGGGGATGATACACATTCTTTTTCTTTTTCTTTCTTTCTTTCTTTCTTTTTTTTTTGTAAAAAAAAAGTGTTAGGATCAGGTTTCTGATTTTGTCTTTTGTTCCCTGAGTAATTACAGTATGCTACATGACTCAGGGACCTAAAATTTTCTAAGTTAGCAATTATGTTGTGAGTAGGAAAGTTGCATATGACCAGTGATCTTTCTATTCAGTGGATTCTCCTATTGATTTTTGATTTTAACCAGCCAATCAATCAAGTGAAGAAATCAATAGGAGCCTATAGCTTGGTCTCTCATATCTATAACTTTGTTTTCTATTTTAGTTAATTCGAGCCTACTAGTGAAGTCGCAATGCATGTGGGGGCCTCACTCTTTTATTGCTTTTGAAAATTGATACACTAAATGATAATTATCCACTATAAGAGTGTAGCAAAAGAGTGGAGTTCATAAACTGAAGAGAGGAGAGATGGAAAGGCATTACAAATAATAGCAATAAATGTGATATTTACTTTTGAGGGCAAACTTGTAAGACATGCTTATGTAGATATTCAATTATTATACTAAGAATAAGGTTTGCTTGATGCACTATTTTCTTTAAGGCAAGCACATGGAGGGCATCATAATCTTTTGTTATTTTTGAAAATTTATACAGTAAATCATGATTATCCAATATAATGATGTGGCAAAAGGGTGGAATTTAGAATCTGAAGATAATAGAGATGGAAAGACATTATAAATAATAGCATAAGTATGATATTTTATTTTGAGGGCAAAATTCCAACACAAACTTATGAAAAGAATCAGTTATTGTATTAATAAATAATGTGTATTTTCATTGACCATTTTAAATCAATCTTTAGAAGGCCTTTGAATGAGAGAGCAGTTGTGGGAGGGGTGGATTGACGTAGGTTGGAGGACAAAAAGGCAAGATGGCTAGAAAGGAATTTTGAGGAAGAAGATATCAAGGAGGCGGTCTTTCAATGGATAGATCTAAGGCTCTGGGCCTAAATGGTTTTATAATGGCTTTTTATCAAGACTATTGGGAGGTGCTAAAAGATGATCTATGTGATGTCTTTTAAGAATTTGTAGACAATTACTTAGTAAGCCTTGCAGTCAATGCCATGTTCTTGGCTCTAATCCCTAAGAAGATTGATGCCAATCACCCAAAAGACTTTAGGCCTATTAGTGTTTATAAAATATTGGCTAAGGTGCTCTCTTTGAGGCTTAAAGAAGTCCTTCCTTTTATCATCAGCCAAAATCAAGGGGCTTTCATTCAAAGAAGACAAGTAATAGATCAGATTCTAATTGCAAATGAATGTGTGGAGGAGATGAAAAGATCTAGGCAAAGAGACTTTGCTTGCAAATTGAACTTGAAAAGGCCAATGACTTGGGGAGAAATAGTGTAGATGGATACTTGGGTGCGTTAATACCTGTCATTACTCTATCTTGGTTAATGGTGTGGTGAAGGACTTCTTTCCAGCATGCAGGGGTATTAGGCAAGGGGATCCACTCTCTCCATTCCTCTTACTTTAGTAGTTGATGTGTTTAGTAGAATCATTGCTAAAGCCGATAGGGAAGATGCCATTAGGAGTTGGAGAGTAGGGAGGAACAAGATCCCAGTCACCCATCTTTAGTTTGCAGATGATTTGATGATTTTCTATGAAGGGGGCATTAGTGAGAAGGTATCAAATTTGAAAGAGTTGACCAAAGGTTTTGAAAGAATCTCTAATCTGAAAATAAATTTGGAAAAGAGCTGCATAGCGGGTATTAATTTGGAGGATAGGGAGGTCAAGGCTATTGTGGAGTGTCTCGAGTGTTCCATCTCATCTCGGCCTTTGTCCTATTTAGGGCGAACCCTAGGGAGAGTAGGTTCTACATCCAGTGCTAGAAAAGTTTTAGAAGAGATTAGCTTTGTGGAAAAAGAATTACATTTCTTTGGGTGGTAGGATCACTTTAATAAAAGCTACATTGGCAAACTTACCCACTTACTTTTTGTTTGTCTTTAGGATACCACTTAGGGAAACTAGGAAGCTGGAGAAGTTAATGAAAAACTTCCTTTGGGAACTGGGGCATGTAAAAAAAAGATCATTTGATTAAAGTGGGAAATTGTGTGTAGAAGCAAAGAGGAGGGGGGTTTGGGGATAGGGAGGGTGGTTCAAAAAAATCTAGCATTGTTAGGGAAATGGCTTTGGCATTATTGATCACAAAAAAAAAAAGGCTTTGGCATTGGTCATTGGAAAGTGAGAGGCTTTGGCATGAAGTGGTGGGGAGCATTCTTGGCATCTCAGAGGATGGGTGGATGCAGGTGTATCAAAGTGGGCTAATCTGGTATGCACCGTGGAAGGCCATCCATAACACTCTTCCTCACTTTCTCAGGTTTGTCAGGTATGAAGTTTCTTCTGGTAACTCCGTCCGGTTTTGGGAGGATATTTGGGTGGGAAATACCCCTTTAAAGGACCTTTTACCTTTTTAGTTCTCCATTTCGTCATATAAAAAGAGGTGGTTTCAAAATTTGTCTAATCTTTGGGAACACCCTTGGCTCCAAATTGGGATTTTGGATTTCGTAAGGGGTTAAGAGATGCTGAAATTAACTCTCTATCTAATTTTCTTTACCTCCTTAATCAAGTTTGTTTGGATCTTTCCAAGCCAGACAAAAGGGTGTGGGCTCCTAGTCCCAAAGGGATTTTTACTTGTTCCTCTTTCTTTAAGTCCATGTCTCAGTCTTCTATTCAACAGGTTTTTCCCTCAAAGGAAATTTGGTGTAGGCCGGTTCCCCCAAAGATTATGGCTTTCTGCTGGGAAGTGTATTGTGGGAAAGTAAACACTTTAGATAACTTACAAAAGAGAAGACCCTTTGTATTTCTCCCAACTGGTGTACCCTTTGTAGAGCTCATGGGGGAGGATTGTTACCATCTACTCATATCCTGTCTGTTCTTTGCAGAATTGTGGGCTTGGCTAAATTCTTTGTTTGAGTGTAGTTGGAACTTTCCAGTAGAAGTACGCTTGACCTTTGACCATTCTACTTTCAGTTGGCCTTCAAAAAGAGGAAGATTAATGTGGAGATGTGCTCGAGTAGCCTTGATTTGGATGTTATGGAAAGAAAGGAATGCTAGAATCTTTCAAAAGAAGGAAAGGAGCAACCAAGAATTGAAGGACTGTGTGCTGGTTAGGGCAATACATTGGTTGAAGACATTGGATTTGTTCCATTAGTTCTCTTCCATCAAGAACAGGGTAGTTTTGGCCTTTCGGGGTAGTTTCCTCTGGCTGAAGCTGAATTTTGATGGGTGCAGTTTGGGCAATCCTGGGCTGCCTGGAATTGGGGGGGGGGGGACTTTTGAGGAATGAGCTTGGAGAGGTTGTTCTATACTCGAGTCCTTTGGGAATCGGAGATTCTGTTAGGGCAGAATTACTAGCTGCTATACAAGGGGTGCAGTTTGCATACCAATTGGGTGTCGGTGTACAACAACTAATTATTGAAGGGGACTCCAAGGTGGGGGTGGGCTGGTTAATGACACCTGAGGATGCTGTTTGGTGCTATAAGAACGAAGTTAAGAAGATTAATGACTGACAAGAAATATGTCAGTTTCTATTCAGTGGGTGGGGAGATCAGCAAATGCTTTGGCTGATGTGTTAGCCAAGCAAGGGGCAAATAGGGAAGAATTGTTCTGGGCTCAGCTGTGATTTCTGTACTCTTTTCCTAGTTTCTTTGCAATCTGTTAGGAGAGGCTGTAGCTCGTGCCTCTCCAAGGGCTCTTGTATGAGATTATAAACCTGAATCAGTTTCTGATTTAATAAAATTCCATTATTACTCATAAAAAATGTGTATTTAATATGCTATTTCTTAATGGGGAAACATTGAAAGAATCAATAGTTATTTTAGTAAATTGGATAGGTAAAGTTATCTTTGAGTAATCTTTTGGTTTTTTTGGTAGAATCCTTGTGAAATCAGGACACAACTAGTTGATGAAATCTCTTTTTTTGTGATGTGGTTTTATGAAAAATGTACAAGTGAGGTTTGCATGCACATGGATTTGGTCTGATACACTGACAAATGTAGTATGCTGTTTTCTCCAGTGTTTCTTCATCAGACCTTGTTTCTAAGTGGATGGGTGAAAGTGAAAAGCTAGTGTCAAGCCTTTTCCAGATGGCTCGTGACAGTGCTCCTTCCATCATCTTTATTGATGAGATAGATTCCTTATGTGGTCAGCGTGGTGAAGGCAATGAAAGTGAAGCTTCTCGACGTATAAAAACAGAACTTCTTGTACAAATGCAGGTATTTGTTCCCGAATTGGAATTTGTGAATGCATGATCTTCTTTTCTAACTTACTACATTGTTATTTTATACTAGATATTACAAATGTGGTTGAAATTACATATCCATGGTGTTTGTACGAGTATATTTGAGAAAGGAATTAACACTGATTCATTATCATCATGAGGTTGATAGGTTGATATGTTCTAATTTATGAATAATGTGATGTAAAATATACTTCATGCCCAACTTTTTTGTACACCTGTACATTCTCCCTGGAGTTGTATTGTTGCATTTTAATTGTGTTCATTTATACAAGAGACGCCATATAATGCTAACTATGAATGACTTTTAAGTGATCTGTTGAACAAAGCATTGTTTATGATAGTAATATGTCATTTGAGATGGGGATACCAGTTGGGCAACTGAGATTTGAGGTGCTCTATGGACGGCTAGGATCAAGTATGGGGAAGAATGATGTGTATCACAGGCAGAAATAGGCCTCAATGGTTTTTTCATTCTAATACCTCGAAATGGAATATAGGTTGTCATGTAGATGGCCAAATGGGGGAATTTTTTCAGTGAAATTTAGTGGGCTAGTGGATTTTATGTTTTGGAATCTGATGGGAGTGTCTTATTGGTCCCAAAATGGTCATTTAATAGGATTTTAAGCTTGAAGGTTTCAGCCAAATGGAATCATTAAAATGGCATGTAAAAAGGTTTAGTAGTTTATTGTCTAGATTTGAAGGGAAAATTGGTGGTTATCATGTTTGAGTGATTGGGATTTGATGGTAGTATCTGATTTTTATCAGATCTGTGAGATGGTAGATTTAGTCTTATGGTTTGAGACAAATGGAATCATTAAAATGGGATGAATTAGTGGAGTTTGAGTGTGAAACTTGGTGAATTGCTGGATTTAGGGGTTTTGAGTTCAATGGAAGGGTTTGATGTATTGCATTTTAATTGTGTTTATTTATTGGAGTTTGAGTGTGAGATGGTAGATTTAGTCTTATGGCGTTAATTGAGCTTTGAAAGGGTATCATGTCAGATATCAATGGTGAATTAGTGGAGCTTGAATGTGAAACTTGGTGGATTGCTGGATTTAGGGGTTTTAAGTTCAACGGAAGGGTTTGGTTGGGTATTCATGTCAAGGGATATTTTGTTTGTTTTATTTCAGTCAATTAGAGGTGTTAAAATGATATGTAGGGTAAGAAAGTGCTTAAATTTTGGAGTTTGGTACTGAAATAAAACAAACAAATGAGTAAAGGCCCTAGTTTGTTTACACTGCGTTTTCATTCGTACTAGTGCAAATGGATTAAGTGCAAAGTCTGGTTTATTTTTGTTTCAACTTTTACCTCGTTATGTTTGTTTGTAGTGCAGATGAAGTAAAATAAAACCTGAAGCAAAAATCCAGAGAAAATTAAATCAGAATTCAAAAAAAAAACAGAATTTGCACTCTGATGCAGTGCAAATGAAACTGCATTGCAGACAATTGGAACCTAAAAGTCAAGCTAATTGGATATGCATCTTATTTGATATTGATTATTTTGATATTCACCCACAATTAAATAACCTTCCTGTCTTATAAGAGACAGTGAAAAGAGTTGCAGCATTTCTGGCAACAATATGCTTGATGGTTCTAATGTTTAACCATTTAGGAACGGTTGGGAAGGGAGACTTCATTAGAGCAGCAGATGCATTTGTCCTTCTCCAGGGCCTAAAATTAGGTTCCTCTCTGGGGTTTGAAAAGAATTAAGATTAAGAATTGAGATCCTACTGGTGTTTCAGGCACTTGATTGAGGTGACACTTGGCCAAGGTATTTATCAGAAGTTTAATATCATATACAGTTTCTTCTAGGGCTGCAACATGGGCTGGGTTAGCCCAAACCCAGCCCGAAAAACTAGGGTTTGGGTTGAAAACTATGAACCTAACTTAACCTTGGGTTAGGGTTGAGGCCTTGACCAAACCGACCCAACCCAAACCTGACTTAACTTCATATTTGCATGTATAAATATTATATATATATATATGTATTTATGCATGTAAGTTCTTGTATATATGCATATTCACTATTCATGCATGTACACATGCAACTATGCACCCATAAATGTATATCTATATATTTATGTATTTTTTTTCACCGCGAGTATTAATGTATTTATGTATATACATATTTATCTATTTATGTATCTATCTATACATGTATGCATATATATATACATATATTTGGATAATTAACAGAATTTTATTAATGATAGCATGTATGCATGCATATTGATTGCAAGCCTTTTTTGTTTAAAGGCAATCTTTTTCTAAAACATTATACTATGTTCTTTTACACATAATATGCTAATATTGAATTAAAATGAACCCTTAGGATCTAAGAAATAAGTACATTTGACAGAAGGAAGTAGAGAAGTTGGACCAACCCAAACCCAAACCGAGCCAGACCTGAACCCAACCCAACCTAACCTTGGTTTGGTTAGGGTTGACCTCAACCCAACCTAACCCGGCCTGACTTGCACCCGTAGTTTCTGCCCATATACAAGTTGCCATACAAGAAGATGTCAACAATTGATGGCCACCCAACTTCAGATTTCCTAAACAAGCCTTAAACTTGTCTCACTATAGGAAAATTTGCATTTTGCTGGTTGCACCAAGAATTGAGTAGCTTCTTAGGAAAATAGGGAAAAAAGATTTTTATCATTGATCTGATTGTTAGTTCTCCAAGGGACATACAAAATCAGTAGAATGTTATGCTGCTTGAACTAAATGAGGTAATATACCAAAGAACGAAAAAAAAAACTAAATGAGATTTAGAACATCTATGATGGATTTAAAATTGGAGACTTTGCAAATATGATCAGCTTATTATTTTAGTTCACATAGTTCAGTTATAATCTTTTCTTGACCTGAATGTGTGATTGTTGACACTTAGATCCCACTTTTGTTTTTAATTGTTCAGTTCTAATTTGATCTGTATCTTCCTATAGGGTGTTGGACACAATGATCAGAAAGTTCTTGTTCTTGCAGCCACAAATACTCCCTATGCTTTGGATCAGGTAAAGCTGGAAACCTTCTAGGTTACCATCACTGCTCAAACCAGCAACAGAGAATTAAAACATAGGATATTCATGCATTTGTTTCAACTGTGCTATTCATTTCTTTACTTGTTTTTATGATTCTTTCTTCAGAAAGAATAGTCAAGTAAAACCAGGAAATTTCAAGATGCACCAATCGAAACATACAAAATGTGACATTTTACAAATGGATGGAAGCTCATTTATTTTTAAACAATAAAGAATTGTACTGCTGTGGTTGATAGACAGTTTATCACAGGCCATCCGGCGACGATTTGACAAACGAATATACATTCCTCTCCCTGATTTGAAGGCCAGGCAACACATGTTTAAGGTTTAAGATTCTTCCCCCCCACCCCCACCCCACTCCTAATTGTGTTTTTCTCTAACAGTTTGTGAAATGATTATTGTCTCCCAATTAATTTATTGTTCTGCATTGAGTAGGTACATCTAGGAGATACCCCTAACAATTTGACTGAAAGTGACTTTGAAATGCTAGCCCGTAGGACTGAAGGGTTCTCAGGTTCAGATATTTCTGTTTGTGTAAGTACAGAAACAAAAGGCCTGCTTAAGTGATGTAGGAGATACCCCTACATCAATGCTTATTAGTGGTATTCTTGCCTGCTTAAGTGATGCTATCTGTTCCCAATTTTACTACCTTGACAGGTCAGGGATGTGCTCTTTGAACCTGTTCGTAAAACCCAGGATGCCATGTATTTTGTAAAGACATCTGATGACACATGGGTCCCATGTGGACCAAAGCAACCAGGAGCTATTCAGATTACCATGCAGGAACTTGAAGCAAAAGGCCTTGCTTCGAAGGTATGAATTAGTGAGTGAAATGCTAAAAAAATGGAGGTATTCCTTTTTTTTTGCTTGATTTAGTATTCCAAAGTAATTTAATATCCACTGGAAATCCCACATGTGCAGATTCTTCCCCCACCAATCACAAGAATAGATTTTGAGAAAGTGCTTGCAAGACAGAAGCCTACAGTGAGCAAAGCTGACCTTGAAGTGCACGAGAGATTCACAAAAGAATTTGGAGAAGAGGGTTGATGGATTTGGAACAAAACACTTGCTAGCTATGAGGACGGGTACTATAATTTGTAACTCGTTGCTACTGTTGGGACTTAAAGAAACATTCATCTTTATAGCTTTGTCAACTAAGGAAGGTGCATAAAATTCTATTTCTTTACTGCATGAGTGGGAAAATGCTTGTCATATTTGGATTTGATATTTCTCTCTAAAATTTGTGTTTCAATCGGGAAAAAGAATTATGACTACTGGTGTTATTAGTCATTCTTGTCATAAGATCTTGATGCTGTAAACTTAAACGGCTTGAACCACAAGCATCCAAGGTTCCAAGTATTGTTACGTATCGGCCCATATTGGCCAATACGTATCGTTCCAGGACCCTTCCGATATGCCCCTACAGTGGGTGTATCGGGGTCTGACTGGTTCAGGGGATGGAGGGGTTTTAGATCGGCTCCCCTGAACCAGTTTTGAAAAAAAAAATAGAAAAACAAGTATCGAAACGCCCGATATGCCCCTACCGGCGTATTGGGCGTATCTATATTTTGAACCTTCCAAGCATAAGGGCTTGAACCACCTTTTTATCCAACTTCAATGCATCTACCTATTCAGTCCCTTGTGAACTTTGACTTTGTGGTTTATCTGATAGTACAGACTACGAATTGTATTGGGATGAATTACGAGATGGTTGGGGTGAGTTAGAGAGATCGGCTTCAGTCAGTGCAAGGTCCGTTCGAACACCATTAGTTCGAACAGCCTTTACAGCTTTGCATCGGGAACATTTCTGTACTTCTTCGAACAGCCTTTACAGCTTTGCATCGGGAACATTTCTGCACTTCTGTGCTTTATTTCATGGGGGATATTTCTAATACAAAATTATAATGGGTGTTTGAATGGGCTTTGCACCGCCTGAATTCGGTTTCGAGTTAGGATCGCCTATACACTATAACCCTACCTGTGCCTCGTTACAACTGTACATTGAGAACATCTCACATGTTTGTATGTTACCGTTCATGGGGGGATGTTGCTAATGTACAGCTGTAGTGCCATTGAGGTGGCATTGATATGATGAGCACGTAGAAAAGAAATGAATTCACATCAGCCCCCACTAGGGGGCGCCCCATAACATCTCACAGCACATCCCAGTCATGTATTGGAAACATCTCCAAATGATGTTTCATCATTTCTGATATCATCACAGGAAAATGTTATCAATACATGACTGGGATGTGCTGTGGGACGGTGGAGAACCCCTTGTGGGAGGCTGATGTGAAGTCAAAAGAAATAGGGTTTTTATTGTTCAATCCACCACATAATTTTTATGAATTTGTACAGTTGGCAACAGTGGCAGGTGGGGGAATGATGGAATATCCTGTCACAATTTAAGGGCGGACGTCTATGATTTGGCCAGAAGGGTCGTCTGAAGTCTGAACCAAGGACTATCATATCCTGGGCTTGACTTTGATACGGGAATTTCGTACTCTTATTTAAAAGTGGTAACCAAAGAGGTGGGGTTTCATCAAAATGAGGGGTTTTGATTGGTCTTTCCGCCACCATAGATTTTTCCTTCGTTTTTAACTGGTCAAAGTCTCATTAAAGATCACAAGTCGAATCAAGTATTACACCAGCGAAGAATTCCCTCTTTCTAAGCACTATGTTTTGTAGTGTTCATAAAAAAAGAGAGTATGGTTTCAGACCCACCATATTTTTTTTTGGTATTAATCACTATTTGACAATCGGAGATGGTTATTTTAAGTGAACAGTATAACATTACATCAACGGTCTAAACAATTACACAGTTCTTTTTTTATAAAAATGATAATAGCGGGATTTAAAATCACAAGTAAACAGTATAACATGGTTTTCAAAACCGGACCGGAATTGGATAGTTGGACTGGAAAAATCGGGAACCCGTCAGGTGATCTCGGTTCTATTTTTCCCAAAAACTGAATTTTTCCTCAAAGCCATTGATTTTGGTCAATGAACCGTTGAACCGAACGATTAATCGTTCGAACAATTTTGAACGTTTTTTATTTTTTTAGAATTTTTGTAGAACGGGCTGAGTATTTGATTCGAACAATCGGACCGTTCGACCAGGTAACCGAACCCCTGACTGGTTCGGTCACCGGGTCGGTTTTAAAAACCATGCAGTATAATATCACATCAACAGCCTTAATCATACAATTCTTTTATTATAGGGATGATGATAGTGGGATTTAAAATCACACCACATTTGAACAATTCATTCAGTGGACCCACCATATTTTGGGTCCTCTAATTCTGAACGCCAGAACCACAAACGAACAAGCATATGCCATATTGTACAAAATGACAAAAAAAAAAAATCACATCCTGATCACCAATGAATGGCCCTGATTCATTGTTGGTGTTGAAGGATTTTGAAAATTCCAACTCCAAAATCCGAAACAAGGCATCAGCACTCCACTGTTAACAGGTACCTCAGTTTTGGTTGATAAATGACCAAAATTTTTAGGATTCGACTTTAGTATCGGGAAAACTTGTAACCAACGATCAGTATCATAAAACTGTTGATCAATTAGGTGATTGTTTATTAAATTCAGGGGGTGGGATTGACTCAATGCCCTTCCGGCAGTATAGATTTTTTCCAAACTTTTATTCTTGACATGTTGGTTTGCCCTTTTTTTGGGTGGGGGTGGAACTTGAGTTGAGGGTGGGCGAAGGCAGGATTTGATCCCAGCTCGGGAACCACTTACCAATGTAAATAGAAGTCGATGAAGGCGATATTTGGGAGTGTTTTTTACTCTAAACATGGGAAAACACCCTAAGTGCTTTTTTAAAAAGCACTTTTTAAGCGTTTGGATGGATACTTTTTGCACGGGCTTTTTGTTGAGAAAGCCTTTATTTCTGTGATATTATTTGGTCATAAATGGCCTCAGGTCTAGATTGCCATCTCAAGAGTCCGGATCATCTGCCCACAAGAATTCTGCCCACGCCTACCCATAATACACTACTCCCCGTGAATTAGGAACATCTGCCCCTGCATAATACTATGCAGAGGATGAGATGTTCTCCATGTTTGGTTCCGATAAACGTGGGCAGAATTYTTGTGAGCAGGAGATCCGGACTCCCATCTCTCAATGCCTGAAATTGAAACATTGTTAAGCACTATTAAATAAATGAAAGTTTATTTTATGATTATAAATGAAACACGTTTTAATAATTTATTTCTCAATAGTACACAAAGGACGTTAGAACTGCATCCTGTCAGAGTTAAAAATGGAATCTGCTCATATTTATTACAGCCATACATGGAGAACATCTCATCCTCTACATAGTATTATGCAGGGGGAGATGTTTCTAATTCACGGAGAGTAGTGTATTGTGGGTAGAGGTGGGCAAAGTTTTTGTGGACAGGAGATCTGGAGTCATACCTAAAACCAAAATTGACCTATTAATATTCAAGTTTTAATCAAATCCAATCCACCAAATTCATATTAGATTAGGATAATTATAAATCACTAATAAATTAAGTTTAAAAAGATTAAGAAAAATTTGTTTGTATTCGATAACTTGCTGAATAATGTACAGAAGGTATCTTTGCCCAAAGGCTTAGTGAAAATATGGGCCAATTGAGAAGTGGAGCTCACATGAAGTCCAGTTCAATGTGTTCATACATTCATGTAATAGGTATTGTAGCCATTGAATTTCGCAAGATTTACTGGCCATAGAGTGGAATTCCGCTTCAGCAGATCCATGGGAAGAGAAGATGGTCGACAATCAAATGGGTAGGCCCATGTCAGTGAGGATATCCATGGCATATTTTCGTTGAGAGAAAAAATACCTTATATATATATGTAATCAGAAGAAATACAATCAGGATATCCATGGCACCAAGGCCATATTCATTTCTTACTGCTCAGAAATACAATCAGAAGAAAGAGTATCAAGTAAGAAAGCTGGAGGAGATCTCCAGGTATGAACAATACTAAGAGCATGTTTGGCTACCACATAGGCAGTCTTGTTTCCATGTCTTGAAATCCAATGAACTGAGCAGTGAGGGAGTGAAGACATTATGAGTTTGCAATCAGAAATCAAGGACTTGATACGCTAAGGAATAGGGCAATCATGCTCAAGCAAACTCTTTGTAACGAGTTGAGAGTCTCCCACTAAAATGATAGAATGAGCACCCGACTTTAAGGGCAAGTCGAATAGCAGCAAGAGCATCTTGGTTTTTCAATTCCACAAGAGAGAAAATAGAAATTTTAATAGCTCTTCCAACACAGAAATCCCCCATTGGAGGGAGATTCAAAATTTCAAGAATCTCTTTTCTCCCTCCCTTGTATTTTGAGTTTTGTCTTTTCCTCTTCTCTCTCTTGAGTAAATGAGAAGATTCCTTGTCCCATATTGCTTTGGAAAGGAGTAGAGGTAGAGTATATCTATAGTTTTGCTCTCTTTATGGGTAGGAACCCATAGGAAGAAAGCATTATAGATATTCCCATGCATGTGAGGGGGGTAGGGGTGCTTTTCAACATCCATGTCGAGCCGGGTCGAGGAATGGGAGTGGGTGCGCGTACGTGTATGTGTACACATACACATACATTTTGCTCTCTCCATGGGTAGGGACCCATAGGAGGAAAGCACTATAAATATTCCCATACATGTGAGGGGGGGAGGGGTTTGGGGTGCTTTTCACACGCACACGGTAAGCTAGGTCGGGGCGTGGGTGCGCGTATGTGTATGTATACACGCGTGCTACACCGAATGTTTTTGCTTTTGACCGATTTAAGCATTTGACTTTTAAATTTCAAATTTATTATTTATTTTTTAAACCATTTATTTTCTAGTTCGTGTCCCTTCTTTTCTGTGTCTCTTCGAACTGGTGCACTATTTTGAAGAGACGTCTATCTGAAGGGACACCTCTATATCCACTCGGGTGACTGAGAATACTCTATAAAATGAGTGTTGGTTGACCTAGATTTACACACCAACTCAATATTCAACAGTCCTCTCTCCTCTATCAATTTGAGCATCATTCTTTGTGGTTCGCGGAGGTCTGGTAAGTGGGTGTACGTCTACCAATGGCCTATGGATTGTTTTACCTTGGCGACCAATTTTCAATCACCCGACTGCATCGTAGGGGGCAAAATGCAAATTTAAGGAGAGTGACCAAATGGCACGACTTAACCCTCATTCTCTCTTCAAGTTCTCGATTTCATAGTCTATTACACTTCACTCCTACAAGTTCTCGGTTTGGAAAGTGATTACCGAT